ACATAGACAAATATTAATACTAAATTAATAATCCATTTGACAATAATTTCAATATTTTTTAATGATGATTTTTTTTGATTTTGATTTTTTACAATAGATTTAAAATTCCATGAATTTAACCATTTATCATCGACTAATGATAAACATAAAAATGTGGTTAATAAATTAAAAAAATTATAATTTCCTGTTAATATTATTAATATTTGAAGAAAAGTTTGAAAATAAAATGCCCATAATCGATGTTGTCTTAATGGTGAAAAAAAATAAAATAGCTGAACCACTCATAATCATGTAAACAAATGCTGTTGATAATGAATGTAACCATTGTGAAATATGATGTGCATAATATGAAAGTGGTGTTGGTAAACATTGTGATTGATAATGATAAAACATTGCTGTTAAATTCCACCATGTTCTATCATATCCACTTAATTTTACTATACCAGATGCAAATAGTAAACGAAATGTTAACCAACGTGTAAGCCATAAAACAATTCAATCATGATAAAAATCATTATGATTATTTTCAATTAATTGTTTGCGTTTTAATAAATAAATAATTCTTAATGGTGCAACTATACATGTTAAAAAGCCAGCTTCTAAAAGTAATGTATCCCATTGAAACCATAAAAATAGACCAACAACTTGAAAACATGAATAATAAATTAACCATAATATAAAAAAGAAAAATGTTGTTCTTAAACATTTAAATATAATCATAAATACACTCAATACTAAACCAAATTATGTAATTAATTCTATTCTATGAAATGATGATAAATTTAAATTAGAGAAAAATGATAATAATATCGGTGTTTGAATATTGTTTTGTTTTAATTGACGACGAATGGGCATAATACCATTTTCACCATATAAACCAGCTTCTTGCTAATATAACATACATAATAAAAATAAATTTCGTGTTTGACAATATTCTCGAATTGATAATAAAATAGATGAATTAGGTAAACGATATTTGACCATTGTTTATTTGTTTGTTTGTTTCTCGAGAAAAAAAAACGAAAAAACAAAACAAAATAATTCAGACAAGATTAACAGAAAAATCTAATAAGAAAAAAAAAATGTTGCTTTAGTTAATAGAACATAAACTGAGCCTCTGATAAGAGAAAAAGCTTGTCAGCGTTGCTCCTGTGGAGCAAAAAGTGTGAAAACTTCCGTGATCTTTACAAGAACAGGAGACAAAAACACTGGCGCGACTATATTTCTACAGCCTTAATTATCAACATTCTTGCCTATTCTTAACAAGAAATTAAGACTACGTAAATCCCACATTTCAGTTATGTAAACCCCAACATTTTCCGAGGTCTATTTTCTCCTAGGATTCTTTCTATAAAAATAAACTTCAAACTTCCATCTCCTTCGGGGAACGGACGTGTCCTTGGAAGTTTTCACAAAAGTCTACGAATACGTCATTATAAGTATCCTGAGACATATCTAATTGGTTAAATATTTTGTTGAAGACGCGCACAACAAGTTCTTATCGAAGACGCTTGTTATTTGGTCAATAAAACAATACTTATGCAATGACTAATAGCTTTTTTACACGAATTATCTCAATCAACACGTCAAATAGTAGAACTATGCAGTTCCTCTTCAAACAATTATTCAGTGCTCAACTAAAGAATCCAGATAAATGCTGATTGGCTTCTCATATTGACAAGATAACGAAAAAGATCTCATATCAGTTGAAATTGAAAAATAATGATATTTTCTGGAAAGTAGATAGACCCTCAGCTTATACAAATTGTTTCCTTTAAAAAAAATATAAAATGTCTTCACTTTCCTTCTCTACTCTTTCAAATAAAAAAAACCCAAAACAAATGATTAAATCTCTCATAGTAGAAAATAAAGTTGAAATTAACTTTATTAATAAATAAAAAAAAAAAAATCACAATATCGCATAGAAAGAAAAAAATGTACACAATAAACATTGTTGAGAAAAAAGTATCGGGGTAAAAAAATCCTTTTTGAAATTCTGCTAATCTTCATTATCGTCTACTATATACTTGATTTATTCTATAGGAAAAAAAAATTCTCTGTTTTATGTGTGCCGAGATTTCAATTGTTCTTCAACTGCTTTAACACATTTAGCCATTGTTAATGATGCACGACTTATGGGATCCGTCATATAAAAGTCTTTTAATTCGGTAATTGGAGGTATTAGTGCTGAATCAGTAAACGATGTTTTATGATTCTAAATAAAATATCGAAAGTTAAAAGACAATAAGTTTCTCATTATAAATAAATAGATACCTGTAACAAATCGGCATTTTGTTTAAAATAATTGGCTTCTTCAATTGTATTGATTCGTGTTAAATTTGAAGCGACTTGATCAATATGTGCTCGAACATCATCAATATCATTGTAGGGCAATGTCAAATCACATACCGTATGTGATTTGACATCAAGCGTACGTACACAAAAAGTCTCTGTGGGCTCTGTTTTTTCTTCTTCTGTTCGAGTGTCGTCTGGAGTTCCTCAGGGCAGTATCCTTGGCCCGATTTTATTTCTCATATTTATAAATGATCTTGCACCATCTCTCAAATCTTCTCTTCTTTCTTGTCTTTTTGCTGATGATGTCTTCTGTGTTACAAAGATATTCGAGGCTGAAAAATGTATCATTGAGCTTGTTCTCTGGTGTAATATTAATGAGATCAAATTAAACATAAACAAATGTCTCTGGATTTTATTTTCAAACTCTAGTAAAATGCTTACTTCACTCAATCTTTCAATAAACAACGTTGATATAGAAAGAGTTTTGTCTCTTAAGCTTCTTGGCATGATTATTTCATATAATTTAACGTGGAAGGATCACATTGAATATGTGTCAATGAAATCTCGTCAAATGTTAGGCTCTATCTCAAGAGTCTTTCGTGAGTCGCCCTCATTTCTTCGTTGTCATCTGTATAAAACTTGTGTAAGAACCGCGCTTGAATACGGTTGTGTTATCTACGATTCCACTTTTACTTCTCATCTTGAAATTTTGGGTAAAAAGTTCAGCGTCTTGCTAGTAGGGTCATTTCACAAGATTTTAGTAGTTCTTCTTCTTCTCTGCTTAAACAATTTAAAATTCAACCACTTTCAAACAGACGTCTATACTATCGCCTTTTCTATTTCTATAAAATTTTCAGTCATAAAAGTCCTCTCTCCTCTTTTGATCTGATTTCACAGTCAACAACGCGTCAAAGCTCTCGATTAGGCCATGATAGTCGCGTGTTTATTCCTCGTATAATGTCAAAATCTGCATCTAGCTCTTTTCTTCCGCGAACCTCAAAAGATTGGAATGAACTACCTTCTGTTTTAGCCTCTCAAACTTCTTTAGCCACATTCAAAAATATGCTGCGAGGTTATTTAGGCTTTTAATAATGTTATTTTGTTTACTTATTTATATTTTTAAATTTTTAGTTTTAGGGTATCCACGGATGCCACAAGATTTTGTTTCTTTTTTTTTGTGATATCCTGCTCTTTAGTAAAAATAAATCTTATCTTACGAATATTAGCTCAATTTGTAAAGATTAATTCAAGTCTATTCTATGCAGTCATAACAATTGGTACAGGTTTATCTTGTGATAGAACAATAAAAGAGGAAATTTATTCCTTATTTACATTTATGGAACAAAATAATAGTGAACTGACAAGCAAATATAAAGCAAAAATTCAACTGGCTAACTTAGATTATCGATCGAATAGTGAACTATTGAATAAATTAAAAGCATATGCAAATTATAAAGATGGTTTATTAAAACAAATTACAATTAATTGAAAAATATAATTGATCAAGATTTTCAATTACAAGAAAAGGCTTTAGAAATTTTGCGTTTATTGAAATCGAAAAATAAAATGACTGATGATCTTATCGAAAGTTGTACTATTATAGGAGAATACCAATTTCAAAGAAATAAAGAATTCTTGTTCAAAATTACTTGAAGATGCAAATCGTAGTGGAAAAAATCTGAATGACACAGCCGACGAAATCGTTAATGAAAAACTAAAAAATGATAAAGCCGATAAACTCGAACAGACATTTTCTCAAAGAAATCTTTACAAAGAATTAAACACACGATTTCAATTAAATGACGAACAAATAAAAGAATTGTTAACAATTCTCAAAATAAAAAGTCACCTTTTAGATATACAAAATATAGAAGAATTGGTTCAAATGTCAATAAACAGCAACCCACTCTATTATAATAGTCAAGCGTTCGTTTTTCTTATCGAACAAGTTTTATTGACAAATACATGCAACGAAACTACATTACCATGTTATTGTCGCATAATTGAAGAGAGAAAATATCAAAAAGTCGTCGAAGTTCTTGAAAAATTAGTTCAAATTCAAAATGAATCATCATTATTGCCATTTCTCATTGAATCAATTTATCGTTCATTGAAATATTGTCATTTATCTGAAAACTGCATTACACTCTTAGAAAATAATCTTGATCACGATGATCGATTGATTCGAAGTATTTCATTCAAAGGATTAAGAAGGATTCTTAGTAAAACGGAATGTACAAAATCTCAACGATTTCAAGATTGGTGCGATTTCACAATAGAAAACCTATCAAATGCTGGAAGACGCATAGCAAAAGTTAAAACATATTTGGATGTATTAAAGGTAATCGTCTCGCTGGAGTTTATTGATTTAAGAAAAATGACAATGAAAAATGGACAAGAGAACTTATTAGATCAAGTTTATTTGAACATTTCAAAGCATGTGACATTGAACAGATCGATTTCTACAGTAATTGGTTTATAATTGAAGAAAAATTCATGTATTATAAATTTGTTAAAATGTTGAGTATAATCATGCAAAGAGTCCTGAATTTCAAATCAATTAAAATCTGTTTTATCAGTTTTTCTAGATTTCAGTAAAGCGTTTGATCGAGTACCACATGATGGTTTATTACTGGAACTGGAAAGTACTGGGTTATCTAAACAATTATTATTGTGGATGGAAAGCTATCTTAGCAATAGAAAAATTGTAACAGTTGTAGAAGGCTCGACATCAGATGAGTTACTGATATCCTGTGGTGTGCCCCAAGGATCGGTTCTGGGTCCTTTGCTTTTTTTGATATATATTAATGATCTACCAAATGGTCTGGATAGTACAACTCTGCTCTATGCAGATGATGTATCACTACATCGGGAAGTTTCAGATATTCAAAGAGACTTTATGATTATGAATGAGGATTTAGCTAAAGCTGAAGATTGGTCTAATAAGTGGAAGCTTGACTTTAACATTAAAAAGTGTGTATCAATGTTCTTCACGCGTTCTGATACAGTAACTACATTGCCCACTTTGAAGATTAAGTATCAATTGATAGAAAATGTTACTGAGCATAAACATTTAGGTTTACTTTTTACCACTAATCCTGATTGGAGTTGTCATATTCAATCAATAGTTAGTGATTGTTCTTCGGTAGTAGGTGGTATGAAATATTTGAGTCGGCTCCTATCGCGTCAAGCACTGACGCTGATTTACAACTCATATATTCCTACTCAGATAAACTATGCCTCTGTAATTTATTGTGGAAGTACACAAAAAGCTCTTGAACCACTACATACAATACAATATAATGCAGCATTAGCTGCTAGTGGAGCGATGAGAGGTTCTTCGTATGAGAAAGTGTGCACAGAATTATTTTGCCTAGTATAGGTTTTAACTCGGTTTTTGAAATTTTTGCTAAAACGAACCATTGTCAGAGGAATCATCAGCGTGGATATCATATGCCTCCATCCACTTCCGAAATTGTCAAAAGCTCACAAAAACCGATCCTGGGGCTTCTAGAAAGTCTGATGCTGCGCCTAAACGATGACCAATAAAAAAGCCAAATGATTCCACCTGGACGAGAACACTCTGAACTATCTATGCATGAAACAAATTCAACAGATTTGTATTTGAACTTTTTGGTCTATTTCTTGATCTGCCCAAGATGCCCTAAAAAGCCGTCCCATATATCATTCTCGTAAGCAGCACGTCCGATTTGGTGTAACTAACTAATGTGAAAGTTATTTGATCGCTTGGGAATGATATCTCCTTAGAGCAAGACGATCATACTGCCAACATTAAGACTACGTAAGATCCAGCGTTTCAGCGTTCTATCATAATGAATATTTCTTCACTATTCTTTCTCTTTATTCTTAATTCTCTTGAAAAACTGTTGGTTTTCGTTGCAAGCTGCTTTTGCAATTTAATTATACAGCAAATTCTTATCGTTTTTGCAGCCTAAATCGAATAATTATAGATTTAATCATAAAGTATCACTTTATATACTCGATGTCTACTTCCTGTAAAATAGTTTTAAAATACAATTGAAAAGTTTAAATATGTGATGTGTGAAAGGAGGAGAGAGACTTAAAAAAATAAGTAATATATCAACCTAATATTCGCCTGCACATATGCTGAGAAAACCTTTTTCCACCAAGCTTTACGACATAAATATGGTTGTTGAGAAAATCTATGAACCTTCGATTCCACGTAAGGTGACATTTTCGGCAAACTTCGAGACTTATAAATAGATGTTCATTCAACTCTAAAGACAAATATCGTCATAAAGGAGTTCAATAGTAGGTGGACTAGGAGCCTGAGACACTGTCGATATTTCTTACTTTTGTCAAAATGGAGTACAAGGATGGTCAGTCTCCTCTATATTACTAATGGGATCAAGTTGCCAGCTTTTACTGTAGGAATAGATAGGTTTGCAAGTAGGCGCATTTTTTCGATTCTCCTCGTGAATTGCTAAATTCAAAAAGATATTTGAGTTTAGAAATGCAAAAAATAGGGATTTAAACTCAGTTTTGAATGCTGACTTAGAAACAAATAGTTTTGAAATTTTGAAAAAGGAATAAAGGGCGAATTTCGTTTCTTGTGGAAAAATTTTAATGATTTTTGTTTGTTTTCAAAAATCAATATTTTTACATTTTTTTCACCCCAAAATCACTTTTAAAAATCAAAAATAGAGTCTGTTCTACCTAACTTGATAAGCTCTATCCAACCATGGCAAAGAGAGTAAAAAACGTTCCTGCTCAAGTTTTGAATTTGCCGCACCTTACATACAAATAAAAGCCTCTCCAAAGCTGGTTGTAATTCATGTATGAACATTAATTTCTGCTTTTGTTACAACAGTGATCTTGCTTTCGTGGCATCAGAAACTTAGACTGGTACGCATTTCCCGAAAGAGAAAAGTACAATATTTCTTGATGGGGAAATATTAACTGTTTGGGAAAGAAAAAAAGTTGTAAAACAACTCCGAGATGGGCAAGTCCGGTATTTTTTCAGTCCAGTCAGCTCTCTAGAAGCTACGTTCGAATTAGTCTCAGTCCTTTCAGCAGTTAAAATTTTTCAGCTGAAGTAAAATCGCAGTTCGAAAACGTTAAATCCAGAATCAGCCAGTGCCCGCCTTTTTTTCTGATTCGCTAACGTGATTTTATCATTGAAATGATTCGACGTTAATTTGAACCATTCATTATAACGCCAAAATAGAACACCCGTGAGTGTTTTTCGAATAACTTTTGATAGAAAGCAGCTAGAGAGCTCCGAGTTTTTCCATGCGAAAGAAGAGACTTGTGGACATGTTTTCACAAGCATAATCATTTTCTGAAGAGTTTTCTGAAACAGGTTTTCTAGGAGATGTTCGAAAAACCAGGTCGTGTGTAAAAATTTTCGAATAGAATTGTATTGATTTTTTCTCATGGGCTCATAGCTCGGGATGTCCTCTTGATAATGGAAGTCAAACGAGACCTTGAGTTTTCGCAGCTTGGATGTTGTATCGGATTTCCTACTAGTCTCAGGACTGGCACCTGCTGACTATTGGTAGCATTGAAAACGAATGGACTATGGATAATCAATCATGCTGAGTCTCGTGGCAATATTTGCTTCTCGAAAAAGTTCTTAGAATCTAACGAAAGAGGAGTTTTACCAAAATTGGGGTTTTCAGGCTGTTTTCAACTAATATTTTAAAATTCGGTATTCACTCAAAATACATCAGAACTAGTTCAAAACTTCAGGATATGGTTAATTCTGTCCGCTAAACGTGATTATAAGGTCGAAAAAATCAAAAAAGCATATTTTTGTTAATGGGTTTTTCAGAAACCCTTTCAGAAAACCTTAGAGTTCTGTAAAATCTCTTTCTAGATCTCCTATAAATAGGATATAGAATAGCCTAAATACTTTACATTCTGAAGTTTTGAACTGGTTGTGAAGTATTTTGAGTGAATACTGAATTTTAAAATATTAGTTGAAAACAGCCTGAAAACCCCAATTTTGGTAAAACTCCTCTTTCGTTAGATTCTAAGAACTTTTTCGAAAAGCAAATATTGCCACGAGACTCAGCATGATTGATTATCCATAGACCATTCGTTTTCAATACTACCAATAGTCATCAGGTGCCAGTCCTGAGACTAGTAGGAAATCCGATACAACATCCAAGCTGCGAAAACTCA